GTTTTAAAAAAGTATTGCTGTCTTCATTTAACCTAAGAAAGAGCAACACAGCAGTTAAATTTAAGTATATCCAAGGAAAACTCCAATTACATTAAATTGATGGATATTTTAATGATCATTCCACTAAATTTTCTGAATGTAGTATATACGCCTTAAAAAATTCTCACTAGCAAGAGAAATATTTTTCACTTGGAGTAGTTGAATGATCCATCTTTTGAATAATAGTAATACAGCTCGCATTTATTTGAGAATGTCAGAAAACAGTTCAGGTGACAGTATTAATAGAGTGGAAAATCCATGATCACAGAAGCTTTCATGTCAAATATGACAGCCTTCTAAATTACTTGTCAAAACTGACCTGCACACAAGCTTAAATGAACTAAGTTAGGCAAGTTAACAGTGAGAATAAAAGAGAGATAAATCTCAGAATTTCAATGATACTTATCACTGTACAAATCTGGAGATTGAAGCAACTACCATTAAATAGAGAAAATGGAGAAAAAGCTTACCTATTCCTGTAACTATGGAAAAATAAAAAGTACATTTATACCAAGTTCAGAGAAGAAAAAAGACTTCTACCACATATTTATTGTAACCAAGCACACAAACACAGTTGAGGTTTGTTTTGATTTATTATCAGATTTAAGAAATGTTGTTAATAAGGACACCCAATAATTAATGTGTATGGTGAAAAACAAACTACAAATATGGCTTTTATGATTAGAAATATTTAGTTCTTTTCCAAATTTGAATATTAATTCTTGAAATCTAATACAAAAATCTAAGTAAGAAATAGTTCCATGAGATAATCCATCACAGATTTATTGGCGGCAGTGGGAACTGGTATTCCCCATAGCCACACAATAGTTAGCTGTGCTATAGACCCCCAAGGTCTATAATTAGAGGGAAATAAAAAGGCAAACTAAATAGCTGCCATTTATTGAGCAGCAGCTAACACCCAGGACCTATTCTACTAGCTATTTTAAAACATCATTTCATTTAATGCTCACAAGAAATTCCAGCAAACAAATGGATTAGTGTGCATACTTCAACATGCTAGATCACTATAATTTACCAGCACTGGAAAGGAAATTTAAGTTAATAAACAATTCCGGATCAGAAGATATACTGTCAACTTATTGTATATTACATTTCAGTACCTCGACAAAGAGCATGTCATGCATTGATATTCAGTAAATGTTCTGAGTATATTAAAAACTTGCTTAGTATATTAAAATCCTTAGGGAAGAATATCAATATTTTATCTTCGGTCTTTAATCCTTCAGTGCCTCAACTGAAATGATAAAGTACAACAAGACATAGTTTCCATTCTTTTTCAAAGAGAATTAAGATACAAACAATATATTGGTAGTTAAAAGATCTTAGTTACATATTAAAATTGCTTTAACGAACATTTGTACAGGTCCTACTGTATGCTGGTCATTATCNAAGTAAGAAATAGTTCCATGAGATAATCCATCACAGATTTATTGGCGGCAGTGGGAACTGGTATTCCCCATAGCCACACAATAGTTAGCTGTGCTATAGACCCCCAAGGTCTATAATTAGAGGGAAATAAAAAGGCAAACTAAATAGCTGCCATTTATTGAGCAGCAGCTAACACCCAGGACCTATTCTACTAGCTATTTTAAAACATCATTTCATTTAATGCTCACAAGAAATTCCAGCAAACAAATGGATTAGTGTGCATACTTCAACATGCTAGATCACTATAATTTACCAGCACTGGAAAGGAAATTTAAGTTAATAAACAATTCCGGATCAGAAGATATACTGTCAACTTATTGTATATTACATTTCAGTACCTCGACAAAGAGCATGTCATGCATTGATATTCAGTAAATGTTCTGAGTATATTAAAAACTTGCTTAGTATATTAAAATCCTTAGGGAAGAATATCAATATTTTATCTTCGGTCTTTAATCCTTCAGTGCCTCAACTGAAATGATAAAGTACAACAAGACATAGTTTCCATTCTTTTTCAAAGAGAATTAAGATACAAACAATATATTGGTAGTTAAAAGATCTTAGTTACATATTAAAATTGCTTTAACGAACATTTGTACAGGTCCTACTGTATGCTGGTCATTATCCTTGGCACTAGAATCTACCTACATCAGGGCCTGCACATCTAGCATTGTTGTTAGTATGTATCCACGTGTATATATATGTACGTTGGGGGTGGGATGCAAAGATAAAACCCAGCAAATAAAATAACCATATTTAATACATACATGGCTAGATAAATTGTAGCGTATTAATTATGGCTGTCTTTTCCCTCTCCCAGATTTTCACCTTTTTTCTACCTCCTATTCAAGAAAGTAGCAAGCCCCATG